GTGAAATCGAATCATACTTACACACATATCACATGCTGGAAATTCCTTGCCCTCAGATCACCCGGCGTTATCTTCATTTGTAATGATCAGTCATCAGAGCTATACGAATCATCTGGGTTGTATTCCAGGTTCGTGAAGGAAGTACTGCAGTAAGTTTCAGTAGCAATTATACAACAAGTTTTCCTGTTGTTTTCCATCAGCAATGTTTTACGGATGGAAGGAGCTATTGTAAACTGTTGTGTGAGTTTTTGCCGAGTCATTGCTGGTCGATTTTCTCTTCGTCATAGACGCCGTTAGCATTCTTAAGTGCTTTTGTCGTGGTAGGTTATGCTGTCTTGATGTTGTTGCTTCGTTTTCGGCCCAAAGCTTCGAACATGAATCATAGCCTTCCTGTTACAAACCCACTAAGCTCTGCGAGCGGCAGCGTGACTGCCAAAGTCAGTCAATTAACTCTTTATCTTAAAGAAGGCTCGTGGGATACAGACCGAAACGGCGGTACTGGTAACAATATTTTGGCTTTGTTTATTGAGAAACAGTGTTTTATACTTTTTTTCCGTTTTTTCACTTCATTGTATCGAGAAGTTTCAAAGTAAAAGACCAAGTCTATGAGTGGGAACAGTGCTGCTAGTTGCTGTTCATTGTTTCACAGAGCTTTTTTAATCTAGTGTTGCATGATAAGCGTTACGTTTACCGTCTTACTGTGATCTTTGTCGATTCTTCAAAGCCTGAACATAGATGGAAATGTTCAGTTGCAGTCCGTGGGTTGTACTGAGCGAATTTTATGTCTCAGTTATGCTTTCGATGCTTAATTAGCCCTGTCTCAATTCAACGAATTCTTTTAAACATAGAACAGTAGGTTTCATTTATTTTCTTGCTATTCTTACTGACTTTGGAGCTATTACGTAGAGATATACACTTTGAAAGTTTCAGGTCAGCTTATCTCCGGAAGTTCATTCGTTCTGAGTCTTATGAACATTGTCTTACTTACGTTAATTTTGGGACGAAATTAGAAAAAATTTTCATGCTATACTGTAAAGAAGTCGAAGAAGTTCTTTTACCGTCAGAATGCCTATTGCAGTTGGTTTGCACGATTAACCCTTATTCGTCGTTTATAAGGTATGTTTTAAGAATACGTTTAATTTTTGTTCTGATTATTTCTTTTGACATTGATTGAATTTTCGCTTTGTAATTTTTTTCACGCTGTTGTTCATTTTGTCCAGTTTTAAGCGAAGCGGCTTGCCGCCCGTGTTTGCTGAAATTAGGGTCCATTTCGTCAACGATTGGAAAATTTTTTGTCGTATCAAAATGACTTCACATCACAGTAGCGGTGGAATATTTTATTCCAGCGTAACATTCGCAATGTTCTATTTTCGCTCCACAACGCTGGACAGTACCTTTCATATTGTTCTCAGTTTGATCCGCATTCACGTTCATCGTCACTTTTCAAATATATAGAATGTCTGAAGTCTACTTTCTTACTGTCCAAAAATGCAGTTTTAGACTATCACCGTTGTCTTCAGAGGCTGCATTTAGAATATTCTCAAAGTATTCATGCCATCCTTTGAGGATATCTTCGTCCTTATTTTTACCTGAATAGCCAGTCTCATCAAAAATAGGTTAGATGAAACCAGGACCAGATCGATTAGTGGTTGCTGTCCTTAAGTATCACGATATCAGGTCATGCATGGACATCATGGTACTGGAAAAGCCGTTTTTTCATGAATCTGACTCCATTCAGGTTCATATTGTTTTGCTGTTCCTCCTGATCACACCTTTTTATTTCTCATAGGCATTTCTGACGTGTACGTTGAGCCCCCATCAGGAATATGAATTCTGCTTCAGCTACCCATTTGAAGTCGCATCCACTTCCTCATTGTAGGATTCGCAATTTCATTGTAGGTTGAATGCGCTCACTTGTATCAGGCTAGCTTAAACTCTTCACGTCTGTGCTTCGATGTACAGTTTGCTTCGTCCGTGGGAGTCAGTCAACAGCATAGCCAGTCGTCCGGGGTCTCACCGAAAAGGTGTCTGTGACATCATGGTTGAATGACTTCTAGGGCAGAAAAGTTTCATCCACCAATTTTCGAGAATGAAGACCTTTCCGCTGCGGCGTTTAATAGAAAAAATCCAACGGCATGCAGTTGATGACGCTCTGCTGCTTTCTAGTAAGAGATTAGGCATTCCACACACGAAGAGTTATGTTCCTCTGACTTAACCGGTTCCATATAGGACTTCTGGGATTTTTTATTTTGTACGTACCATTTGCTATTCTGGCATGAATAAAAGTCACTGTAGTTCATTTCTGGATGTTATACATTTGCTGTCTTCTGAGCGTTCTCCTCGGTCTTATGTCAAGACTGCGGCAATTTTTTTCTTGAACTGCCTGACATATCGTAGTTTTCGTAAATATGTATTAATGAAGAAGAACGCGAATAAAAGTACAGTTGTCGAGGAAGATAAATCGCACCATATCTTATTAATTTATATCTGTATGCACGCGTATTTCTTAAAAAATTGTCTGGTTAAGGTTGCTGATTATATAAAGAGGTATTTCTTTTAGGCAACTTGGAACATTGTGTCAAAACGCAAGTAGAGTTTGCGAATTCAAGAAGGAAAAAGTAGCATTGCTTTCTTCTGTCAGCGTTCCAGTTTGCTGTTTAAGGCATTCTTGTTTCTCGATTATTTGTACAAGAACGCAGTCATACTCTGGCGGTCTCCGTTGCAGGTGTCTGTGACTGCATTGCTGCACTCTTGTCTTTTACCCCTTTTCAGGCATGTGATTTGAACTTTATTGTTTCTTGTAATCTTTTGTGGGTCTAAACTTTAAGAATTTTTCATCACTGGCTAAATTCTGGCAGTTGGATTGATGAATATGATGAATTTCCCGTTTTTGAACATGCCAACCCATCGGTGGTCAAAACAAATGGTGAGTATTTTCAAATAGATCTTCAGAATTCAGACAAGATTAGTTATAGTTTAACTGTTGCCTTTTTCCAGTTTATCTCACTTTTTGTGTGAGAAATGCCTTAAGGTTAGGCGATTATTTCCATTGTTAATCCGCGGTTTTGTGACCAATAATTTTTTTAGGTAAGCCTTTGTTTCGGCATGTTAAAAAGTTGAAATATGGTTGCCAGTTTGAAACCAAGGACATACATTTACTTTCTTGTAGAACTGAGCTGAAATAAGCGTTTCTTTTGCCGCAGTAACCACATTTGTATAGAGACTCCTTTTAAGAAACCTACGATAGCACTGGCTTGGGTAGCTAAAAGATATTCAGTATACTGTCCATTGATGGGGTTTTTGGTTCAAAGTTTCCGTGGATTCATGCAAAGTATGATCTGTCCATTAAAACGAAAGACGAAGTTCGAATCTTTGTTCTTTTATTCGAATTAATTTTGCATCAGCAACGGCTTCAACAGTGGCATTTAATACTGATGTAGCCATACGTTACTGCTTCACCAAACGTAGCTTTTTTTCCGGATTTTCGATTTTTCCCAGATTATCTTCAGTTTCTCATGAACTGGCAGCGATCATAAAGAAGTGTATCAAAAATAGAAAATCGGCCTCAAGCGTTAAATAAAAGTAAATGTTTAATGGGTGAGAACCAATATTTAAAAGATATCTCATCTTTCGACTTGTTTTTCACAATTCCTTTAAAGCAGGATTGAATGTCATTGCCATTCTCCAGCATGCGTACTTGGTGAAATTTGTCACAGCTTTGTCAGTTAGATTAAAGTTGTTTGATCTTTAGTCCACTTGCCAGTTAATGCTATCCTTGAAACCATTATTTTTGTTTACTTTGTTCATCGGTGGGATGTCGTTGATTACTTTGAAAATCAGGTTTGTTCTTCCAGTATGCCCAAAACGAAACCATTGTGGAAGGCTCTAGCGGAAAGATCCAGTTGCAACCTGAAAAAGGAATATAACATTCTTTTTTTGAACTGCTCAATAGCGGTGCCTTTGCTTTCGATATGGTGTTTATGTTCTATATTATGCAGTCATTCGTCAGCATTTGCAAACAGCTGTATGAATTTGTAATCTGTTTCACTATGTTCCCAGTTTTACTAATATAATTTCGACCAAGGCTGCAAGAGGTGAAATACAGTCATTTATTCGATCTTTCGGTATTGCTTTCAACCACTAAACTTGTGATCAATTCTGAAAGTCAGCTATATTTGCAAAGATGTAGTCATCCATTCGAGGCGTCGTCACAGCTCTTTTGAAGTGATATCATGTGTGAAAATCTTTTAATACGCAGTATTTTTAGCATAATGGAGATAAGCAACTTAGTAAAAAAAGTCTATGTTAAAGTTTATGTTATCCATGGATGTAAACGTCCTCTTTTCAGAGGTAATATAGCAAACGAAAATATTGCATAATGGTACTCCAAGAGTAAATGGGACAGCAGCCTTTGGACTTTTCCGAGTTTTCTTCTAGACAGATTTTGCTTTTAATGACAACACGTCATCTCTCAGTTACTACTGCAACTTTAGCCAACCGCTTCGATGTTCCTAACATTCCTTCACGGCTATCTTAATTCTTTCTTGCGTACGATCCCACGATCGGCACCTCGTACGATGTAGACGCACAACTATGGTTAATAAATTGTATTTTTCCTTGATTTAAAATAACATATAAAACGAAATTAAAACTGCGACCCTTTTGAATACGTCTTTAACCTAGTACTGTATATAGAAACCAAGATCAGGTTAGGTAAGAAAGGTTGGTCGCTCGTAATGAAGTTGTATAAGGAAAGCGGTTTCCATTCATCGCCAGTTCGCTGCTCCTGTAGAAGCCAAATTATATAAATTGCTGTCCAGCGTGTCATGTGTAAATGACATAATCTACGCAGTTCTGCATTCGGTGAAAAATCATTCACTCGAGGCTAAGGTACCTTTTACTTGTTAAACGGTAAATTCGGTGAAAGTCGTAAGCAGAACGCCCAACAATTTCAAACCGCTGAAGAGTATGGTAGAACAGCCGAAAGCCAAACAACCGCAGATATTAGGCCGTTCATTTTATTCTTACGATCGCCGTCACCTTTCAAAGCGTATCTTGCGTTTTGCATCTTCTATATTTTCGAATCGTGTTTTAGATCGCATTACGTGGCTGACCGCTTACAAAGTTTCCAAAAGTTCTGTCCCTGGATTTCTTTACCAACTGTTCGACAAGTTAGCTTTTTGTGGCAAAGCCGTTTCGCTGTTAAACGTGCGCATAAAGTCTTTGGCCAATGAGGTAACCGTATAATCATAACGAGTCTTTCCGTTGGCTCGTAAAATTTTGATTAAGGAAGAAGCCGTTTCGGATGAATTTGACGTACAGGACATTTTCCGAACTCGTCAAACTGAACCAAACACGACTGCAGCTTCATTTTGCGTTCATGACAAATTTTGCTTCAATGTTTCAACCATGTAAAGTTTCTTAGAATATTGCAATGTTTAGAACTAAGTTTCGTTTTAAATAATTGAGCTGTTGCTAGTCCGTATAGAAAGCGAAAAAGAAAAGATCGTTTGTAACCGTTAAAACATCGATCTTTCTTACTTTTACATGATGCGGCCATTCCTGTCGCCATTCTTTTCATGAGGTTTATGGTGTACCGCTGACCCCCATGTCCATGCCATCAGCCAGGAGTCCTTATTACGGCAGCAGTTACGTGGAGTTTTCTATTTTCTTTCTACAGAATGATACTAATTTATCAACCTTGGAAGGAGGAACGGTGAGGACCCCGACTGCGGTTCGAATCCAAGATCTCTTAGTTCTGAGTCCGACGCTCTACCAACTGAGCAAACCCCAGTTTAATGTAGCTTATCCGTGCGATTCATTCAGGCTTATGTCTTTTGCACCTTCCATTAATTTTAGGCTGAACGAAGTTCAATGTCAAGCAACACAAGCCGTCGTCTGTAGGCAAGAACTGTGTGAACTCTTTCGGGTGATACAGAACATATATTTTGGATTTGACTCGATGTTTTTTGCCTCTCTAGCCACCCAAATGTTCCCCTTTTTTGACTCCTCCGTAAATCCTGCTGCCATTCTCCTTTCCGTGAAGCTTCATCTCATGCTGAACGCAGCCAGCGAAAGTGCTCGCATAGAACGACGGTGGAGGAATTCACTGTCGTTCGGAATCAACTTCATCCCGTTGGAATTTAGAATAGAAAGCAGCAGTCTGTTTCGTTGCATTAGCCTTTGGATCGATATTCCATGGCCGATTAACATTGTTGTGACCAATCAATTGCTTAAAATTTGCAGCGAAGTTTTCTCGTTTATCCTTTATCTTCACTTCGTTATTTGGATCTTCAGGAAAATTCGTTCCTTTCAAAATGGAAATAATTATTTAAGGTAATTTAGCCTAAATTTTGGAACTGTTTTCTACTTAATCGATCGTTCAGGATTAAGCTACGTCTTTGGCAGTTGCAAAGGTTGCTTGAAAATCTTCTCGCAATGATCATGAATAGTATTCGTACTTGCTTCAAACAAGCGGGGCGCATGTCTTTTCACGAGTCTGAATCCGTCGAGCAAGTCTACGAACGCCATGCGTCGCTGATCAATTCCATTCGACGCCTGCCGTACTTCTGGAATAGCGACTATTTAGCGTTTGTTGAAATATCTGCCCTCTATGTCGATGCAGTTCGAGAACGGTCTTCAGCCAAAATGACTCAACATTTTAAAAACTGTCAAAGAATTGCCAATGCTTTATTTTTTTCTCATCATTCCCATTTAAATTTATGAGTGTCTAACAGATGCACAGTTCAGGAACAAAATGTGAAATTGTTCCAACCACGCACTACCAATGTGATCTTTTGATCAGATGTAAAGAACAGCATGAAAATAATTGAC